TCTTTTGGGCTTGTAGGGTCTTGCATTTATGCCCAGGATTGGCTTTCAGATTGTGATCCTTATACTCATGCCATCCAACCCAGCTCTTGGTGGTGATGAGTGTCTTGCCAACTTTTTATACCAGCTGGCTTCAAATGGTAATCCTCCAGAGTATGTGGGGTGATGGATGTGAGCCACCGTGGCTGACTCTGAACCTCATTTTCCTTGGAGGGATGAGGGGTGGAGAGGGAGGGAAGGTAGGAGCTGGTCTCTACTGCTTGTGGACATGCTTTTATCAAATCATGTTGTGCCTTTCAGCTTCTACCAACCATTTTGTGCAGAAAGTTTCTGCTTATCCCTTTGTCTGTATTCTTGTACCAGGAGGTGGGTGGGAAAGTTTCATGGCTGCTCACTCACAGGGTGCAGAAAAGCCCTCAACATTAGGCAGGGTTTCCTAGAAAGCTGGACTAGGCAAAGTCGTTGCTGATAAAAGTATACATCATAACTGTATTTGGCAAGTCATAGAAAAGTATTGCTACTATATGGGGGAGCATCACACCTAGATATGAAAATGCCACCACACATCAAGAACTGTTAACATCTTACTTGTACAACCAAAGACTGGATGCTTTCCTCAGTGACCCTGAAGACATGATAATTTGATAAATCATTGGTTCCTTCAGTTTTAATAGATTCACATGCTATCTCCCTTCCTCTAGTCTAATTCCTGCCTGTTCATGTCATAGATGTGTGTGTGTGTGTGTGTATGTAACACTGTGTGTGTGTGTGTGTGTGTGTGTGTGTGTGTAGCACTGAATCCTTTCCAGAACACAAATTAACCCCTTGTGGGCTCTCAGGCACCTGGCAGCTTCATGGTGGCTGTGGAGACAGGTGGCTACCATCCTGTGTTCTTAAATTTTTATTTGTTTTCAGCTTCTACATGGAGTCTCCTTCAGCTGGCACGTGGGAGGAGGTGTGGGGTGTGCTGGTCCTGGGGCTCGAACTCAGACCCTGAATGTTGTCTTTGAGATTTTGTTCTCAAGTAACTGCTCTACCACAGCTCCATTTCTGGCTTTTTGGTGGTTAATTGGAGAGGAGAGTCTTATTGACTTTCCTGCCCAGGCTGGTTTTGAAGCTCAACCCTCAGATCTCAGCATACAGAGTAGCTTAGATTACAGTGGTAATCTAATCTACACTGGGACCTGCCTAAGAGCAATATTTGTAAGGGACACATGTCCTGTCCTGTCCTGAGGCTGACACAGCCTCTCAAGATGTACAACTGTACACAGTACTATGAACTGGCCTATGTAACCCATTTTTGTCATGACAGGAAAAGTCATGCAGGAGGAGGGGGGACCAAGATGGCGACGGGGCAGTAGGGAAACGCCACAGCTCT